TAGTGAATAAGTCTCAGGAGATCTGATGGGATTATCAGGGGTTTCCGCTTTTGCTTCCTTCTCATTTTTTTCTCTTGCCACTGCCATATAAGAAGTGCCTTTTGCCACCACCCATGATTTTGAGGCTTCCCTAGCCATGTGGAATTGTGAGTCCAATTAAACCTCTTTTTCTTCCAAGTCTCGCATATGCCTTCAGCAGCAGCATGAAAACAGACTAATACACCTCCTCATACCTCCCATGCCTCCACACTTTTCACACCTCCTCACACCTCCACACACCTCCCATACTGCCTCACACTTCCTACACCTCCCATATCTCCACACACTTTTCACACCTCTTCCCATCTCCTCCCACCTCCCGCACCTCCCCATGCATTCCTACACCGCTCATACCTCCTCACACCTCCCATGCCTCTCCACACCTCCCCATGCCTCCCCACGCCTCTCACACTTCCCGCACCTCCTCACACCACTGGTACTTACTACTGACATGTCTGTCTGCCTGTGTATTTCTCTGGGACAGGCCCAGCTTCTCCTTCTTTTTACAATTCTTGGGTCCAACCCAGTGTCTGGTGCAGACTCAATGCTGAGTATCAGTTAACCTGACTTGAACACCAGCAGTCGGAAAGCCAGGATGATGTGAATTTTCATCTGGCCTCATTTGTTCCTTAGCCTCTCGTAGGGGTCACATCTCCCTCTTTTTCATTCTCGTACATCTGGGGACACTGAGCAGGGAGTGCCCACTCTGTCAAAGCACCAGAGAGTATGACAACAGAATTAATGTCTGCTTCCCCACAGGAGCCGTCGCCCCTCCCAGCCGAGTTCCTGCCAAGGTCAGTGGGAGCCAGTGCAGACTGGCAGAGATGGGCAGCCGGATATGAGAGCCCGGCCAGTCAGAGAGCCAGGGTGAGCCAGGAGGTTTAGCTCAAGTTCCGGACACCCATCAGTCTTTAGCACAGTCTCTCAAAACACACAGGGGGAGTGGGTGGGAGAGTTTAGATTTTTGTTTTTGAAAACTTGGTTTATGCCCTTTAATTAACGAGGGCAAAAGTTGTACTGAAATTATATGTGTGTGTGTGCTATTATCTATATAATAAGTTATATAGATAATGTAAGTACATATATATATTATTTCAGTTTCACATGCCAGGAGCTCAAACACAACTTTAAGGAACTTAAGTTTAGGGATTAACTTGAAGGATTAAGGAAGTTTCTAAGTACAGCTTGAATAGTGCCCAGATGAATTCAAGAGAGAGAGAGAGAGAGAGAGAGAGAAAGAGATAGATACATAGATGGATAGATGGATGGAGTTTCGCTCTTGTTGCCCAGGCTGGAGTGCAATGGTATGATCTCAGCTCACTGCAACCTCCGCCTCCCGGGTTCAGGCAATTCTCCTGCTTCAGCTTCCCAAGTAGCTGGGATTCCAGGCATCTGCCACCACACCTGGCTAATTTTTATAGTTTTAGTGGAGATGGGGTTTCACCATGTTGGCCAGGTTGCTCTTGAACTCCTGACCTCTGGTGATCCACCTGCCTCAGTCTTCCAAAGTGCTGGGATTACAGGTGTGAGCCACTGCACCCAGCCCGAATTCAAGATATATTGCCACAGATTATAAGAAGTGGATAGAGTTTTTCAAAATCATGGTCAAGGCTTTTATTTTGATGATGTTAGCACTGTGGCTTTGAGCTTGGGAGGATCAAAATGACTGATTTAACATCAGATTGTGCCTTGATATGCTGATGCCTTTTTCCCTTCAGGCAGGGAGATGGATCTAGTGATGAAATGAGTGAGGGTTTGTGAATTATCCGCGTCTTGGCTGGCGTAAGTCATCCTTCCCTTTCAGGGCTAGAATGGTGAACTCCAGGGCCCTCTTGTACTCAGTGCATTGCTTGATCTGTGTTCATGTTCGTGGGGTAAAGGCTGGGGAGCATCTTAAAGTTGCTGCTGCTTCTCCTTTGTTGTTGTTATTGTTATCATCACTCTTATTAAGGCTGCCGTGAACCTTCTGTTCATACTTGGTTCCATAGCACAGTGCTTCGCAAACTCTATTGCCGGGAACACGCATTAGGAAGACTGTAATTGGTCAAATAAATTGGGAAAACCACTGTCTACCGTATGTTTCTCTTGAAGATGGACAATGTATCTGCCTTTGAAAGGCTCTGAGAATTCCTGCAGGGGGAGAAAGTTTTCCTAGCAGTTTCTGAACTTGTTTGATCACATGACATTTATTTTCAGTCATGTTTCTTACTAATTTCCAGTTCTGCTGGGACAGCTTGAGGAGGCCTGCCTCAGAATAAATTCTTACAAGTGGAATTGTTGGGGCAAAGCATATGAACATTTGTGTATGGTGGCCCGGAGCGCTGCAATATAGCCGCTTTATGTGTTGGATAAGAGTAATCCAGGAGCGTTGAACTGAGTTCCCTACCACTCAGTAAACCCCACTAAGTAGGCAAAATATCAAAACAGATTTTTATATTGAACGGGTCAAACACTTTTTAAAAAATTCTGTAGTTTCTTCTTCTCACTTTGGCATTTGTGAAGAAGCTTCAGTTATTAAAAGCAAGATCCCTCAGGACTGTTTAACAGAAGGGCATTGTTCTCCGTTACATGAAATCGGTAGCATATTTTTTAATGGAACTTTGGAGTCATGTATTCATCTATTTCTTGTTTCTAAGAGAGGTTGTTTGGTAACGTGTCCTTTTATGGGTATCAGAGAAATACCAAAGGTGATGTGTCTTGACTAAAATCCCGTGGGGGGTTGTCAGATAAAGCGGAACCAGGACTTCTTTAAAGGAGGGTCGCTGCACTGAGCCATCTGTTGCGCCATTACCAGAGAAAAATATTTTAATATATACATGGTGTAAACCCCCACCTCTTACCTATTTCCAAAAAGGATTTATGACAAAGAGAAAACTCATAGCAGAACCAAATAATTCTTCTAGAAGGTTGGAAGGCTTACCTGTGAAGCTTGGAGGAGGTTATAAAAGGGAAGAGGTGCTTACTTAAAAGTCTTCAGGAATGGCCGGGCACAGTGGCTCATGCCTGTAATCCCAGCACTTTGGGAGGCCGAGGTGGGTGGAGCACTTGAGGTCAGGGGTGAGCCACCGTGCCTGGCCATCATAAGATTATTATCTTACGGGTTTTTTTTAAGAGCTGAGGCCTCACACTATGTTGGCGAGGGTGGTCCCGAACTCCTGGGCACAAGCGATCCTCCCACTTCAGCCATCTCCCTGAGAAGCAGCGGTAAGTGGATGTGACCGGGGGATTCATGAGGGAGAGGAGGACCAGGCGCGTATGCACGTTGAGCACTGGGGTTCAGGAGCTTCAGGGGGCTGTGGGAGGAAAGGCCTTGAGGCCGAGGGTGGATTTAGGAACTCCATGGAGAGCAGTTTGCTTGCAAGTGGGGAATCTGAGTCTTCTTTCCCCATCCCAGCTTCATTGAGGTATAATTGACAAAGATGGAATATATTCAAAGTGTGCACTGTGATGTTTTGATAATACATATACATGAGGAATGATTCCCACAGTCAAGCTAGTTAATAACATATCCATCACCTTACATAGTTGCCCACCCTTGTTTTGTGGTGAGAACACTTAAGATCTCTGTTAGCAAATTTCAAGTATACAATACATTGTTACAGACTGTAGTCACCACGCTGCAGAACTCGCCAGGACTTACTCAACATGGCTGGAGGACACTACGCTAAGTGAAAGAAGCCAGGCACAGAAAGACAAATAGATCCCGCTTATATGTGGAATCTAAACAAGTTAGAACTCGTAGAAACAGAGAGTACAGTGGTGGTTGCCAGGGGATGGGGGATGAGGAGCTGTGGTGGGAGAATGGAGAGATGTTGGTCAAAGAGTCCAGACTTGCTGGAATGGGGGTGTTCAGCTACTCGACAGATTGTTTCTGAAAAGCTATCCTGTCTCTTCCAGTCTTCCACACCCTTTCTGTCTTCTCCCAGTACTGTACTGCAACCCTATTAAACACCAGGGATCCGTGTGCTCATGTATAACTGCTCCACGGGCTACCCCAGTCCCCAGAGACCCCCCAGCCCACTGAGATCCCCATGAGCCTGGGCCCCTGCTTGAATCTCCAGCACATGCTGTAGCAGTAGCAGCCTCCCTGTCTGGGGAGTGGAAGCGTGCGTGGACGCCTACTTTCTGCCTCCTCTTCACTTTCTCGAAGGCTCTGCCAGGCTCTCTGCCATCCAGTGTGTGTGGGCAATTCAGCAATTGTGAAGACTTAGAAAAGAGCTTGAGAAATGCCAGTCTGCAATATTTCTCTTTTAGAAAACAGTCCAGTGTGATACTTCCATAGTCCAGAGACGTTTTGTTATTTTAAATGTACTGCAATGTTTGAGGCCTGTGTAGGCAGACACTTACTAATTTGGTGCCAGCAAAAATGCTAATAAAGAGAGTAGACTGCTTATCTTAAATAAGAATCTTAAGGCCGGGTGTGGTGGCTCATGCCTATAATCCCAGCACTTTGGGAGGCTGAGGCTGGTGGATCACCTGAGGTCAGGAGGTCGATACCAGCCTGGCCAACATGGTGAAATCCCATCTCTACTAAAAATACAAAAATTAACTGGGTGTGGTGACACTTGTAATCCCAGCTACTTGGGAGGCTGAGGCAGGAGAATCACTTGAACCCAGGAGGCAGAGGTTGCAGTGAACCGAAATGGCGCCATTGCACTCCAGCTTGGGCAACGAGAGTGAAATTCCATCTCAAAAAAAAAAAAAAAAAAAAATCTTAAGAGAAATACTTGGCCATGGTAGACTAGTAATACATTTACTTTTGTTTTCTTTTTTTAAACCATGTTCAAATTCCTTTACTGTTAAAACTGTATGTGCAACATAAGAAATGTTTGGCTTAACAAATGTGGATGTTTCAATTACAAAATACGTGCCCCAGCGCCGGGGGCTGCAGGGGCAGAGGAATCCCCAGTGATGGTATCAGTCTGGTTCTGTCAACCTGCCATGTTTTTCTGTCGTTGCAGGTGATTTTCAAAGCCAAGTCAAAATATTCTCCAGAATTACTCAAATACCGGTAAGTACCGCGGGGCATCTCTTTCTGTGGTAGAAGGGGAAAGTGCCGACATGTGAGTCTCATCTCTCCTTCAGGGTTTGCACACATCGCTGCTCTGTGAACCGCCGGAAGCAGTCCTGCCTGCTGGCTGGCTGCCCACAAGCATCGTGTGCATTGCCGGTGACAGTGAGGTCATCGACTCATAACTTCATGAATCATGGGGGCTTGCATCATACTTACCCAGTTCAGAAACAAGAGCCTGGCGCCTTTCCTAACAGGAGGAAACAGATGGGAATAAAATAGGTGTATGTTGCCTCTAAACCTTTCTGAGAAGTAAGAGCCTCAGCAGAAGGAAACAGGGTTCCTTGAAGATGCGGTGCTTTGCCAGGTGCTCCCCGTTCCTCATCCTGCCCCTCCCATGCTCCCAGTGCAGGTGCAGTTGCAGGTGTAGGTGCAGGTGCAGCTGCAGCTGTGGAAGGGCCTTGCCCCTGCACCCTACCACCTGGTGGTCTTACGCGCCTTGTCTCAGCTGCTGGTAGGCTCCGGCTCCTTGTTTTCTAGAACTTCAGAGCCCATTGAACCCTAAGTTGCTACACAACTACTTGCAAGGTATCCATCCACATCCAGAAATACTGTTCTGACCATTCAGTGCTCAGTTAGGCACCACGAGGAAGAATGTATTATAGTTGAGAAGTGGACACTATATTTGTAAAGATGGCTTAACACAAAGGCTTGCACGATCGGGCAAAGCAGGATATGTAACATGCCAAAAGCATGGACACCGGGAGGCACGGACATTTTGTGGAAGAAGAGAGGCTTGTGCCAGAGTGTAATCTGGAAGGGAACCTCTTAAGTTATGTGAGGAGGGGGATCTGCATTTTCCTACGTAGGGGTTCATAGCTCTCCCCAGATTTTCAAAGAGGCCTATGACTTTCCTAAGGCCAAGAACCAGTGGCTTAAAGAATAGTCAGGTTTGGCCGGGCACAGAGGCTCACGCCTGTAATCCCAGCACTTTGGGAGGCCGAGGTGGGCTGATCACTTGAGGTCAGGAGTTCGAGATCAGCCTGGCCAACACAGTGAAACCCTGTCTCTACTAAAAATATGAAAACTATCTGGGCGAGGTAGCACACATCTGTTGTCTCAGCTACTTAGGAGGCTGTGGTGGGAGAATCACTTGAGCTCAGGAGGCAGAGCTTTCAGTGAGCCAAGATTGCACCACTGTGCTCCAGCCTGGGCAAGAGAGTGAGAATCCGTCTCAAAAAAAAAAAGAATGGTCAGGTTTGACTGGGGTTGGGGGAGGAGAACAGGCCTCTGGAAGAGGCGAGGGGGTGCAGCGTGAGTCCAGGGGTTCTGGCGTCTCTGCTCAGGAGAACTCCACTGCCTCCCAAAAACATTTCTGAAAAGGTGACTCTGGCCATCACCTCCTTGGGTCAAAATGAAAAATTATTTTGACCGGGCGCGGTGGCTCAAGCCTGTAATCCCAGCACTTTGGGAGGCCGAGATGGGCGGATCACGAGGTCAGGAGATCGAGACCATCCTGGCTAACATGGTGAAACCCCGTCTCTACTAAAAAATACAAAAAACTAGCCAGGCGTGGTGGCGGGCGCCTGTAGTACCAGCTACTTGGGAGGCTGAGGCAGGAGAATGGCATAAACCCGGGAGGCGGAGCTTGCAGTGAGCTGAGATCCGGCCACTACACTCTAGTCTGGGCGACAGAGCGAGACTCCGTCTCAAAAAAAAAAAAAAAAAAAAAAAGAAAAATTATTTTGTCATTTAAAAAAATATGTTAAATTGTATACATATTTTATTTAAATATATATCATCTAAAAATACGTAAAGACTTTTTACTTAAAATTCTGAAGGTATAATAGTTTAATCCTGAGTTTATATCCAAGGAAATGAGTTCAGAAAGTTTCTCTGAAGTTCAGAAAGTTCTGTGAAGGTGCCTGGGCCAAGATATTAAGTCCCAAGACTCACCGTCCCGGGCTTTGTTTTGTTTTTCACCTGATCTTGCTGTCTCCCTTCACTGCTTTGCACGTGGCTCGGTTCACGTCTCTGCCAGACTCAGGTGGAACCTCAGCGTCCACTATGAAATGATGTTGGTCCCAAGGAGAGCAATTTAAAGTGCAGGTTGAGTGTCCCTAATCTGAAATGCTTGGGACCAAAAGTATTTCAGATTTCAGATTGGATTTTGAAATATCTGCACATACAGGCTGGGCACAGTGGCTCACTCCTGTAATCCTAGCACTTTGGGAGGCTGAAGAGGGTGGATCATTTGAGGTCAGAAGTTTGAGACCAGTCTGACCAACATGGTGAAACCCCGTTTCTACTAAAAATTCAAAAATTACCTGGGTGTGGTGGCAGGCGCCTGGAATCCCAGCTACCCAGGAGGCTGAGATGGGAGAATTGCATAAGCCTAAGGGGTGGAGGTTGCAGCATGTGGAGATCACGCCACTGCACTCCAGCCTGGGCAACAGAGCGGACTCTGTCTCAAAAAAAAAAAAAAAAAAAGGAAAAAGAAATATTTGTGTATACGTAATGAGAGATGAGGGGATTGGATGGGACACAAATCTAACATGAAATGTATTTATGTTTCAGATACCTTATACACATCTCCTGAAGGCAATTTTATACAGTATTTTTAATAATTCAGCATAAAACAGTTTTAACTGTGTTTTGACCACAATCCATCACATAAAGTCTGGTGTGGAATTCTCCGATTGTAGCATCATGTTGGTAGATGCTCAAAAAGTTTCAGATTTTGGAGCATTTCAGATTTTGAATTTTCAGGTTAGGGATGTTCAACCCATATAAAGTACAAGTAGACAGTTCTCTCTCTTCTCCAGTAACAGAATAGTAGCCTCGCCTCTGCATCTGTAGTCTTTGCCCTGCATGCCCCCAACCAGAAATGTACGTCAAAGCGTGAGTGAAGATGGGTGTGGAGAACATTCTGTCTGATTAGATCATGGAACTGATTTTATCTTGGGAGCAGTTGAGGCTAGGGTAATTAAATGTCTTCTAAAGGTGGAATACGAAAGCACTGGTCAGAAGGGAAATTGTTTAAAAAGCTTTCAACCTCTGAGCACAAGGACTGGGGTCTTCAGGTGAGAAGATATGTGCGTGGGGCAGTCCTCGCTTGATCCTTGAGCCAAAGTGTACCTCAGAGACAGGCTGTGCTGACAGTTACGGCTGCATTTTATTGGGAAGGGATTTGCAGAAATGAAGGGAGAAGATGGGGAGAAATACAGTTGGATCCAGATGTTAAAAATGAGATGTTTGGGACCCGGCACGGTGGCTCACGCCTGTAATCCTAGCACTTTGGGAGGCCGAAGTGGGCAGATCACCTGAGGTCAGGAGTTCAAGACCATCTTGGCCAACATGGTGAAATCCCGTCCCTACTAAAAATACAAAAATTAGCCAGGCGTGGTGGTGTACACCTGTAATCCCAGCTACTTGGGAAACTGAGGCAGGAGAATCACTTGAACCCAGCAGGTCGAGGTTGCAGTGAGCTGAGATTGCGCCACTGCATACCAGCCTGGGCAACAAGAACAAAAACACCATCTCAAAAAAAAAAACAAAAAGAAAAAAAAAGTGAGATGTTTGGGCCAGCGAAGTTGGAGAGTTCTTGAAACAGGAGGGTGAGGTTTCAATGGGAGATGCCTGTTAACCCAGTCCTAGTGATTTTGTTGCCAAATGTAAAGAAATACTAGGAGTTATTCCTGTGTCGGCACATCTTTAGTCTCATCTATAGAATTCCTCAGTTCTCTTAAACCAGACGCCACTAGAGACATTTCAGGCCACAGTCTGTCCCTTGAGATGCTTTGGTATGTTGGCTTCTAAATAGATTGGCTTCTCTAATTTAATCATGACTCCCCTGAAATAAAACATGAGCCATTAGTCTAGAACTAGTTGAAACTTTCCACTCCGATCTTTTCCTGTAGTAATTCACTGGTTTTGAAGATAATTTATATTCAGCTCAGCCAAGAACCACTTTATTTTTCACTTAGAATCTCCTCTGCCCTCCCACATCTGCTAGCTCAGAGTTTTGGTGGCGTGGAAGGCAGTTTGATTCAGGCTTTCTCTTTCTCAGTCTGTGGATTTTAATTTATTTGGTTTAAGAAATGTGAGCATTTGGCATGGGAGTGCTCAAGAACATGTTGATTTTAAACATTTTCAACTGTCTGCCCTCTAGCTTTGTGATTTTTTTTTTTTTTTGCCGCCACCTCGCCCGGCTAGTTTTTTGTATTTTTTAGTAGAGACGGGGTTTCACCGTGTTAGCCAGGATGGTCTCGATCTCCTGACCTCGTGATCCGCCCGTCTCGGCCTCCCAAAGTGCTGGGATTACAGGCTTGAGCCACCGCGCCCGGCCCTGCTTTGTGATTTTTTAAGTAAGTAAAAAATATAGTGAGCCAGGTTTTCCTTTTCTTTCTTTCTTTTTTTTTTTTTTAAAAAGAGACAAGGTCTCAACCAGGCCGGAGTGCAGTGGCGGTGGTGCAATCATAGCTCACTACAGCCTTAATCTCCTGGGCTCAAGCGATCCTCCTGCCTCAGCTTCCTGAGTAGCTGGGAATACATGTGCACATCGCCACATCCAGCTACAAAAAAAAAAAAAAAAAATTTGTAGAGACAGAGTCTTGCTATGTTGCCCAGGCTGGTCTTGAACTCCTGGACTCAAGCGACTCTCCCTCCTCGGCTTCCCAGAGTGCTGGGATTACAGGTACACGCCACCACGCCTGGCCTGCTTTTCCCTTTCTTTAAGTGAAAAAGCAGTGGCTTATGTTTGTAATCCTAGCACTTTGGGAGGCTGAGGTGGGAGCATCACTTGAACCCTGGAATTCAAGACCAGCCGTGACAACAGAGCAAGATCCCATCGCTACAAAAAAAAAAAAAAAAAAAAAAAATTCAGCTGGGCGTGGTGGTGCACGCCTGTATTCCCGGCTACTCAGAATGCCGAGGTGAGAGACTCGCTTGAGCCTAGGAGATTGAAGCTGCAGTGAGCTGTGATTGCACTACTGCTGTCT